AGGGTCTATTAGACATGCCAGATACAAAATGCCTGAAAAAAAAACAATGTGTCCAAGCGAACAATGCGACCAATCAGTGCAAATTTTGTACAGTGCAACTGATATGAGGAATATGAGGAATACCTTGCCACTGCAGAATGCGGAAATTAAGCCTAGAAATCGTAATGATTCCGCAGAATGAGGAATGGTTGGAGACCCTGCATTAGACATAATTACAAACCAAAAGTTCATCATCTCATCACCAAAAACTCCAAACATATCTGTGAAATTTTTTTTTAGGAATTTGAATAAAATTTTAGCCCTTTTTTAGGAATTGCATACATTTTTTAAGTTTTTTTAGGAATTTTAGGGCAAGCTCAAAATTTTAGGAATTTTTAGAAATTTTAGGGCCGCTGGAAAGCCTGTGAAAGTAACACCGCTTCGATGCAATTTCCTGCACTATGAGGCAGCACTATTAAACAATCTTCATCTCAATAACATCACTGTTGAGTTGATTATTTTTACCTTTGGGGACACCAAAGACTAAAATACTTACTACCAAATTTGTGCTACGTACATGTCCTCACTGGGGTTACCAGTGCAGACTTTCCTAGGCTAAAATACCTTTGCCCTAAAAATTCTAGGGGGGGGGCGACCGCTCCGTGCTACCGACCCCCCGTTGACAACTACAGCACTGGAATCATCTCCCCCTGAAATTTTGGTGAAATGAATATTTTACTGAGAACGTCAAAGCTGCAAAAAAATATGAGAAAAACAACCAGAATTGAACCAAAAAGTGCATATATGCTTAAAGATATATTTTCACCCCTTATACACTATAAAATATATTTTCACCCCTTATACAAAACCGGGAATATACTTCCAGTCGGGTCTCAGCACCCCCATCCCACCAAAAAAAGTGAGATTAAATTGAATTTTCCCATTCAATCCCCGTGAAAAATTCAATATCCAAACTCTCAATAGGTCTATTCTAATTTTGAATAAAGCAAGGATTTAACTTTCGTGAGCAGTGATAAGACGTGATTTGGGAATTTTGAAAAAAAATCGTATATGGGGAATGCGTCCAAAATTAACTGTCCGAGTTTCAGTAAAATAATGTCATTCTTGGAACGAGTTACAGCCATTTTACAGTAGATGTATGTCACGTTCCATTTCTGTAATAATACATTAGGAGAGTATGAATAGCGATGACGGATTTGTAGATAAATATCCAGTATTTATTCTGTCAAATATTGAATTTTTCCCCATTTTCTTCCTGAAAGTAGGGGGGATGAAAGCCACCCCACCTCAATAAGTGTGGGGGGATATACCCCCATACCCCCGCTATCTACGCCCCTGTCAGATAAACTCAAATTTGACTTTTGATATGCATACAAATATTCATAATTATAATCTTTGTTAGCAGTACTCTATAGGCGCTGCGGAACGATTTTTGAAGTGGGGGTGCTCAATTTAATACGCTCGACAGTGGCCAATGCAGGATTTCGAGGAGGGTGGTAAGAAACAGGCAGGGGTATGCAGGTCCTGTCCCAGAAAATTTTGAATCCCCCATTTTCCTCCTGAAAGTAGAGGGAGGATGATTGTACACGCCCCCCCCCCCGCTATCTACGCCCCTGATCGCAGCCCATGATAGTCCCAATCTAAGCAGAGCCTATGAAAGGCAAAGCCTATATAAGGCTAGCTCTAGAACTATAGCCCGCGTACAGTTGCCGCAGGCAGTTGCCGCAGGTACGCGGGCTATAGTACTAGAGCTAATATAAGGCAAAGCCAATGCCTATGACCACAGGCACTTGGGACCACAGGCACTTGGAACGTCTCAAAAAAAAAGAAGGTAAATAAACACGAAATGTACCAGTCTTAATGTTTCTCTACTGTATTTCGCCTATAATCACCTGTAAATGCCGGTCAAATGCTCATCTGCAACACACAAGTACACCGAACGCCCGCCCGCGCTGTGCTGCGTGCACAAACAACATGAATAAGAGAGCAGGTAGGAAAGCGTGATCGCAAAATTTGCTTGACGCTCGCTTCATTTCACACGATCACAGAACGAAAACACATCCAAAACGCGTGCGTGACACAGATGGCTGTGACAGAACACAATGCAACGTGACGGAACGCAACATAGCGCCGCGGCGCGCGACGCGGGCGTGACACAGATGGCTGTAACAGAACACAATGGAACGTGACGGAACGCAACATAGCGCCGCGGCGCGCGACGCGTGCGTGACACAGATGGCTGCGACAGAACACAATGCAACGTGACGGAACGCAACATAGCGCCGCGGCGCGCGACACAGATGGCTGCGACAGAACACAATGCAACGTGACGGAACGCGACATAGCGCCGCGGCGCGCGACGCGACGCGCGTGTGTGACACTTACTGTCCTCGCCAGAGAAGCCCACGTAGGTGCGCACTGCGACGGGGGCCTCGCCCTTCACATTGAACGACTTCACCTGGATGTCAAACGGCTCGTAGACGTTCGTGCCCCACACGATGTACGTGTTGTTCCGTGCTTCGTTGATGTTCACCGTCTCCCACACGGCGTTCGCGTCGTCGTGCCGCTTGAACTTCACCTGATAGCGGAAGCCCGGCCCGTTCTGCTCCAGCAGTGTCATCGGCTGCAAGCAATCACGACGCGAATCGATAGTAGTCAGCGAAATCATGATTAACTTAGTAGCGACGATTATCAATTGAGTATCGACATTAATTAACTCCTTCCCACCCCACTGCAAGGACTTCGAGAGATGTAGTTACTCTTGCATGCTGCAGCGCAAAATTCCCCCAAAACACGAGTGATCCGTTCTTGATCAAGAAACTAGGTTTCTAGTCAGGAAACTAGGTTTCATGGCGTGAAAGCCAGTTTCTAGCCCTATAACTGCAGTTATAAGAAGAATCTTTTAAAGTTTTTAGAGTAGAAATCCTAGTTTTTATAGCAAGAACCCATATTCCAGCAAGAAACCCACTTTAAACCGCGCGATTTGTATCCTAATTCGAGAAACGATCAAGAAACTAGGTTTTGTAAGCACGAAAACGGGTTTCTTACGAGGAAACTTGTTTTCTCAAATTACGATACACAAAATGCGCGCGATACGGGCGAGGCGGACAATACTCACCGTCCACGAGATGACCATGTTGTTTGGGCGCGTGCCGTTGCCGCGCACGTTCTCCGGGTGCTTGTCGGGCGTGTCCGGATCCGTGCGACACACTGTCGTCGCATCGCTCGGCACGCTGTTGCCGATCTTGTTGTGCGCGATCACGCGGAACGTGTAATTGGACCACGGCGAGATGTCGACGCGGTACTGCCGTGCTGCGAGGGTTGCATGCAACAACACAGGTTAGATACTGTCGCACTGCGAGGGTTGCATGCAACAACACAAGTTAGATACTGCCGTGCTGCGAGGGTTGCATGCAACAGCACAGGTTAGATACTGTCGCACTACGAGAGTTGCATGCAACAACACAGGTTAGATACTGCCGTGCTGCGAGGGTTGCATGCAACAACACAGGTTAGATACTGCCGTGCTGCGAGGGTTGCATGCAACAACACGCGTCAGAAATGTATGGTTGTATGGCGTCATGTACACGCTGTCATGGTTGTATGAAGCAAGTGATAGATAGTGTCGTGTTGCAATGGTTGTATATACTGGTTTGCTGTGAGGGTTGTATACAACAACACGTGTTAGATACTGGTTTGCTGTGAGGGTTGTATACAACAACACGTGTTAGATACTGGTTTGCTGTGAGGGTTGTATACAACAACACGTGTTAGATACTGGTTTGCTGTGAGGGTTGTATACAACAACACGTGTTAGATACTGGTTTGCTGTGAGGGTTGTATACAACAACACGTGTTAGATACTGGTTTGCTGTGAGGGTTGTATACAACAACACGTGTTAGATAACGCAGAACAATTACTGCACTGTGATTGGATAAACAACAACCAGAGCGCAAAATTCCCAACAGCAACACGACATTCGCAAATCGCGGCGGCCACGTCTACTCCGGTGCATCGTTGACCTGCCGCGCGACAACTCCGTTACATAAACGCAAAGCTAGCAACGTTGAATCGCACTCACTCGTCGGCGAGACCTTGTTCTCCAGGTCCACCCAGATGTCCGGTTCGAAGGTCGTGTTGAACTGAATGATGTAGTTAAGTATGGGCGCGCGGTTGTCACCCATCGGTGTCCACTGCACGTTCGCTGACCGCTTGTCACAACTCGTCAGAATCACGTTGCCTGGTCTGTTGGGCCGGCCTGAAAGCGAACATCGAAACCTCAACATTGTTGTCCCCGACTGCTCTGGCGGCTGCCACGGCAACGCGATAGCGCTGCAAAACGGGCGCATGATGCCCCTGCATGGTCATGTGACATCAAGACGAGTCGAAGACAATGTCAACACTGGGACTGCTGTTGCGGATTTTGATTTTACGTGTCACGCGGTGACACGCTGAGATTTACCGAGACGATGACATCACATGCAAATGCACTGATGCTTTGAACGCTTTTGCACAAATGCGTGTACAAAATACACTGCACGGTGATGTTACTGGTTACGGTTGACACTTACTCTGTACGGTCATCATGGTAGTGACATGTGACACTTACTCTGTACGGTC